AAACCCTAAGCCCTAAATCCCTGAAACCCAAACCAGGTTTTGCGCCGGCTGGTGGACAGCCGCCGGCAAGTCAAAGCATCCATGAAATCTGCCGGAAGCTTTGTTTTGGGGGAATTGGGCAGTGAGGAGTTTTTATAGGGATACTGGAAAGATGGTAATTACTACTACATTAGAATAGGCTATCCATGTATACATATATATATATAGAGAGGTATATGTATATATATATATATGTATATAGAGATAGCACGTTTCTATGATAAGGGATGAATGTGAAGGGGTCTTTTTGTTCGAGGAGAAGAATCAGAAGATCCTGCAAGTCCTGGAGATTCGCCAGAAGGCAGCACGCAAAAAGGTGGTTGATGCCGGCCAGTCAAGACAGACCATAAGCCCATCCATGCAGGCACTGAAGCTCACAGCAAACTCTATGTCTGAGACTCAGCCTCAAGCAGATCACAGTAGCAGGCAGGACACTAACTGGTGCCAGGTATGGGTGTTTGGGCTTTCAGAACAGCCGCTTTCACGTGCCGGCCCAAGCAGGTCATCAGGAGCAAGCAATTTTCATCACTGCTCTGCAAACCGCATCGTTGTGCGCAGAGGCGAGACCCCTGGCGGCTCTTATCACTGCCAAGGGGCGGGAAGCCTTGCAAAATACGAAGACTGTGGTGCAGCAGGAGCTACAGTTGGATGTGGTGGGGGTCTGAGGAAACTGCGAGGTTGCTGGTGGTGAGTTTGAAATATGTGGGGGGTTGGGGGTGTTTAGAATATGGTCCTGTCTTCAGAACCCTTGAATTGGGGGCTAGATATGAGGGACCAAGAAAGGGACCGCTCGAAAAGGTAATGTGTGGCAACCCCCGTACGATTCCTATATATCATATAATACAGTCCCTAGTAGTAATGGAAAAAGCAAAAACTCAATTTTCACTAGATTTTCCATTATTGGTATATATCCCTATACATCCCTATGCAATCACTGTAACCGTAAGACCTGAGCCCTGAATTGCAAAACCCTAAAACCCTAAAGCCTCAAATCCTACAACCCTGAACTCCTAAAACGCTAATCCCCTAAAACCCTAAAGCACCAAAACGCCTAAACCCAAAACCCTAGAACCTTCAACCCTCAATAGTGGTTCCCATGTTTTCCATTATCCCTATATATATAACCCCAATATGCTATAGTAGTAGTTTCCGTTTTATTTTCCATTATACCTGCATAATAACCCCTGTATTATACCTAGGCCCTCTCAAGCCAGCAGGTCTATGGTGACACAGACTCCGTCTTCGTCAACTCGAAAACGGCAGACTTTCAGCAGGCCTTCTTTCGATAGACTTCATAGAACCTTACTAGTAGCCCCTTGAAGACCTGTAGGGTTTAGGGATCAGGGCTTAGGGTATAGGGTTTAGGGTATAGGGTATAGGGTATGGGGTTTTGGGTTTAGGGTAAAGGGTTTAGGGTATAGGGACAACAAAACATTAGCTTCTGGGTTTCAGAGAGATATATAGGGGTTCCTGGATTACGTCGTAAGATAGGGTTTAGGGTTTAGGGTTTTGGGGGTTTCGGGTTTAGGGCTATACCACCTATAAAGGGACAAGCAAATGCAAAATGAAATGGACACGAGGGTTATATAGTGCTTTCTATGCGCTACGGTCAATACAAGCCTGATTGAGAGACCCTTAATGCTGGACACATGGCTTCTGCCTGTGGTTAAGTATAGTCTCTAACATGGTCCTCAATGCGGAACGCATGTCCATTCAATTTTGTAGGAAATATTGACTGTAGCTCATATAAAACTATGTATCCCTATACCCCCATGCTCCTTGTATGAAGATACATCCTGATATATCAGATATATCAATAATACACCGTATATGTCCCCACATTTCATCATGCATCCTTACATATTCCAACATGTTCCTATGACCCCACAGTACATGTCGCTCAGCAGGCAATGAACGCTGCCGAGCAAATCAAGCGAGCTGTCAACAAGAGGCCAGGAGTCGACCTCAGGTATTTCTTGTAGCCCCCTATATTGGTCTTGGGGATTCATAGGTGATTTTGCGGTTTGGACGTGAAACAGATTGACAACAAAACAGAAAATATAATGGAAACTACAGTCAGATAATGCCCCCGCCAATACTTGATCATCCTTCTTGTAGGGTTTCCATGTCTAATCCCGTACCTTCTGAAAAAGTCCATGTGTAATGCAAGAAATTGTCCGTGTGAAATGCAAGGTACCGTCGCCTGGAAATCGAGATCGACGCTGTCTTCGCAAGCCACCCAGTGCATGCGGCCCTGCCTGCTATGGCTTATGGAAATCTCTTACGAGGACCCCCACCCTCTAATAGTGGTAAAAAAGAAGTATAAGAGGATCCTAATATAATTCTTGTTCTCCCTTATAGTCAGTCCTTTTAAGGGGCCTTAACATTAGGATCCCTATTATAATCACTATTAAGGGGAGGGGGCGAATTAATCAGGGGTCTACATGTGCAGTGTTTGCACGGAGCTGAAGTGTTTGTAGGCCACTTAGGGGCATTGGGAGCGTATAATCCCCCTTAAGTAGATAGAATATGGCTTTGGGTGTGTTATAATAAGATCCTCATATACCCCATATTCTATCTACTTAAGGGGGACTATAACTTAATAAACGCAATGCAAAGGGGAGCAAGGTCTGGAAATGGGAGCCAAAGTATGAGCTGAGTAATTGTAAACGCTAGCGCG